TTCTTGTTTGTTCTCTGTCTCATTGCTCTGTTCATTAGTAATGTTGAAATCTCCTACCATGGATTTGTTTACTGTGATACCTGTTTACTGAAATGATAGCAGTTATCCACATATTTTGGTGTGCCTTCATTTGGTGGGTATGTGTTGATGAGTGTAATGTCTTGGTGTATTGTCCCCTTACATAGTGGTGATCCATGTCTGTTTACACACACACACACACACACACACACACACACCTATATATGTATATATAAGTATATATATATATATATAAAAGATTATATATATGTTTTGTCCCAACTTCTGTGACCGGCTGCAAGAAAGGAAGGCAGGAGGCAGAAAGGCTGAGCAAGCAGAGTTTATTGCTCCCGGACAGCAGCTGAGATGGAGCCCCTAGAGTGGGTCCACAGCTACTGCCAACTCAATAAGGGGGAAGGGTCTCTTATATGGGTCCTAAGCTCAGATTTCAAAGGGGTGACTCATCGCTGTGTCCTTGATGTAAGGCCCAGTTCGTTATCACCTTCATCTAATCCCATCCCAAGGCAAGGACCTGTTAATTAGATGCGAGGCCAGATTTATTACCACCTTATCACCTTTGGATGCAAGGCCTGATTTATTATTGCCCTTATCCAGTTCCTCAGTAAATCTCTGCATTTAGTCACTCCCAACAATATACATAATAAGATTTTATATATATATATAATATTTATTTATGCATACAGAACTGGGGTACAGGCTAGAAGTGCAGGGGCGGTGAGAGGCTTCACAAAAGTGGGGAGCAGAACAGGCCAACTGACAAAGTACATTGCTGAGGGGAGCAGCGGGCCTATCAGGAGAGGTCTGCTGTACCTTGTGGATCACCTCAGGGGTGGGGATCGAACTCTGCTGAAGTGGCTTTAGCTTCTCATTGTTGTGCTTTAACCCACTGCGCCACCAGGGAGGGCACGCAAATATATTTTATGTATGTAAGTATGACTGCCTCTGCCTTCATTTGGGTGCCATTTGCTATAGAATTGTTTTCCAGCCCTTTGTCCTTTTGCTTTTGATCTTTATCTTTGAAGTTTAGGTGTGTTCCCTGGTGACAATAGTTTGTTAGATTCTGTTTCCTAATCCAGTCTTTGTCTTTTATTAACAAGTGAGTCTGATAAGATTTAACATTATGTGGAAGTTATTTTCATTATGTTCTTAATTTTGTGTTTTAATTCCTTGTACAGTTTTTGTGTTCATTCCTTTATTAGTTGGGAGGAATCCTAAATCCTTGTAATATTTCTTGGAGTTATAGTGGAAGCAAATTCTAGATTTTGTCTGAGAAAAACATTATCTTTCCCTCATGTAAGGAGAACTTCTTGGCTGACTTTTTTGTTTTTTGAATGTATTACTCCATTCTCCTCTTGCCCATAGTGTTTATTCAGAGAAGTCTGATGTTTATCTAGTCAGTGTTCCTTTACAGCGATCAGTTTCTTCCCTCTTGTCAGCTTTGTCTTGATTTCTAGGAAGCTTTGCATTTATTGCTGTATGTGCATTTTCATTCCTCTTCAAGTTAGAGATGTTTTCTTTAGTTGTTTCCATGAATAACATTTCAGCTCCCGTCTTTCTCTTTTTTTGGGTTCCTGTGACTCTTATATGCCCTACCATTATGGTATTATATATTTCTCAAAGTGTTTGTTCAGCTTTTTTTTTTTTTTGTATCTATCATCTTCTGTCTTGGCTCTGCTTGTATCTGCATCTTCAAGATTACTGATTTGTTATTACATATTGTCTATTTTATTTCCATGTTTTTTTCCCCCCAGAATCTCTTCTTTTTTGCGTCCTGCAGTGTGTTTTCTTATTAAACATCTCAGTCTTCGGCCTCTCTGGCACCCTTGAGGTTAAGTTTCAGTGCTATCATCACTATGGCCTGAGTCTAGTCCCTGGCCAGGTAGTTGGCATGGCACAGCAGACCTTTATGTCTCATTGACTTTCCTTAGCAGTGTGTTTCAGTAGATCTGCCTATTCTGCTCTATACTCTGTCTCTGGTAACTTCTCTCACCCCCTGCGACTCTGGCCTGTACCCTAGTTCCTCCCTCCCTCCCTCCCTCCCTCCCTCCTTTCCTCCCTCCTTCCCTTCCTGTCTCAGAATGGCTTTAATCAAAAAGGAAAGTAACAAGTGTTGACAAGGAGGTGGAGAACTTGGAAAGTGTTGGAGGGATTGTAAAATGATGAAGCCAGAATATAAAACAACTTGGCAGTGCTAAGAAACTTAAACATAGAATTACCCTATGACTCAATAATTCTAACCCTAGGTATATAGCCAAAAGAATTAAAAACAGATATCAAACAAATACCTGTGCCTGAATTTTCATAGCAGTATATAACCCAGTGCCTATATAAAATAAAAAAAGAAGTTTCAATTTCAGCCTTCTGTTCATTGATTGTTACGTATAGCATTCTTTTTCTGCATCTTTTCATATATCTTTGATCCGTTTTCCTAATTTTACTCTGTGCAAATTCTTTGACTTTCTTAATTATGGCAACTTTTGATTCTTCATGTGACAAGAAGAAAAATTCTTCCATGTCACTGTTTTTGGGTTCTGGAGGTTAACTTTGTTTCTTTAGTATATTGCTTCCCTGAGCGTTTGAGTGACCATTCTATTTTTCTTTTTCCCCATTGTTTGCCTTTGCATTGCTCTTTCTGTAGATAGGGTTTCTGTTGGGTATGGGTTTCCTTCCTTCTTCTGGCTGTTTACTTGGTGGTGCTACAATATTTGTAGTTTTCCCTGTTTGTGTGAATAGCAGACTGGCCATGGGGGTTTGGGAGCACCTGGGGCTGGTGCTTGGAATTTTTGGTGCCTCTCTGCTGAGTTTGGCTTGTCTTCAGGACTAAGCCATTATTATAGTCAGAATGCTGCTTTCACAATGGAAGTAACAACATTGTGCTGGGATTTTTGTTTTATTTTGAACATACATGTTGCAAGGTTGCTTGCTGTCCTTTTGGATGTATGAATTCCTTATAATTCCTGATTGTACTCCATTTTGGTGAAATTTTTAAAAGGAAAAAATCTTAAGTGCATAACTTTCCATTCTTCCTACATATGAAAGGCAGTCTCTGTATGGTTCCTTGATTCAATTTCAGTGTGGGTGTCATTGTTAACTGAAAATAAGCATCTCAGTGATAATTAGGTAATCAAAGTGAGAATTTGAATGCAGGACCATCCTGTTTGGCTCTGAGAGCTGTTCTAATAAATACAAGTTTGAATTTAGTTATTTAAGTAGGAACAATGAGTTGCTGACATTAAAAATGTTAATTATTCATAGTAGGGTCTCCTAGTTCTAGGTTGTCTTGACATAAAAGAGGAAGGGAATGCACGATTTAATATGTGAATGAATTTTTTAAATTCCTTTTGCAACCCTGCAGAGCTGCAAATGGTGTTAAATCTTTTCTTTCCCCTGACTTCTTGCTCAGCCATGGTTCTGTGACATTATTTTCAGCCTGCAGATTCTTGCATACAGATTTGTGCCTATGAGGATAGTTTTGCTCTCTTAGCTGCTAGACTAGGGAAGAGCGCCCAGAAAATTTGACATTATTACAATACCAAGTAATTATCCAACACCAGGAGGTGTTTGATAATTCAACTTAATTTAGCTCAGTTTTTACACTACCCAGAGGTAGCATCAGATTGTGCAGGTTATTGGGCTTCAAGACACACCATTTCAGATGCCAGCTGAAAGCCCAGTACCTTCTGTCTGACTGATTTGCTATTAATTAAGAGGTTTCAAGACACCCTTCCCCCATATTGAATTACTTATTGGAGTTAGAATTCAGGAAATCTGTTTACTTACTAGATCAAAGGTTCTTTCTCAAGAGATGCTTAGGGCAAAGGTTGGGAAAGGGCTATCTAGAGGTTGCCACTTCCCTCCACTGTTCACAGGATGCGTGGGAACCATCCCATTAAGGGCTTTTATGGGGGTTTCAGTGACTAGGTGTGAACAACTCCTTGGCCATTGACAATTGAATTCATCTTCTAGCTATTCCCCTTCAAGAAAGTGAGGATGAAACTGAAAGTCCTAATTTGTCTATTCGTTTTGGTTTCCCAGTAAGCAGCCCCCTTTGGATCTTTACATTGAAGCCATTTTATAAATATAACAAGTGATGCTTTATCTCAACATAAAGGAAATTCTAAGATTTTGGGGAGCTGTGAGTTAGGAATTGTGAAGGAAGACCAATAAAAGCAGAAACATTTTGATAATCTGAGTGGCTAACTATATATTTTTCTTGTAAGTCACAATATAGAAATTGGAGCTAAATGAGGTTTTGTTTACTATCAGCTGTTTTAACCTATTTTTAACATCTAGTTAGTCAGTCTGCTTTGGCAAGGGCTCTTGATTAAATGTGAAACATCCCAGATTTAATATTTACCTGTAAGACAAAAGTGTTTGTTATCAAAAGCCTTGGACCTAGACTCACTTGGCTAACCTTCCTGTGATTAAGCCTCCAGGCTAATAGGAATTTTCCAAAACCTGGCCAGCCAATTACCAGTAATAGACCCTCAATCCTGCAGAGGCTCTTGGGCACTGACTCTTGAACCAGCTGAAATCTGATGGCCTGGAGAGGCAGATGGCAGAAGATCTGTGGTAGTCACCAGGGATTCCTTGGTATGCTAAAGAGCCACTTGGGTGCTAATGAGACACTGGACATAGGAGTCACATAACCCAGCTGTACTTGCCCCAGAGTAACCCAGCTTAAAACACTGACAGTGCTTTCCATCACCTCTATAAAATGAGAACCCCCATTAGTAGGTCCACAGTGTGGCTGAAGGCAGTTGCAGTCCTTTTCTTATTGTGTGATTCACAATAAATACTCCTTGTTGATATCAGCTCTTTCAAATTTGTTGGGAAATTAATTGGTAGAAACCAGACTAAGACCCTTTGGTATCTGTAACAGAAAGACAGACGAATCCTTTAGCTAATAATTGTGTTATGGAATTAGAAATGTTTATTCAGAATATAAGCATGTAAAATACTATAAATGTCTCTGTATAAATACACGGAGTTCTTTTTGAACAATTTTATATCAAACAACACAAAGTCGCTATTTTACAGAAACGAAAAGCACTTGGAACCATTTAAAGCATACAAGTGAAGAAAAAAAATACAAGGCATAATAGTGTTAATTAAGTAGCAACTTTAAAGTGAGACTTTCAATATCAACAGTAGGACAATACTGATAAATGCAAACATAGTCATGGGTGCTTTGAATAAACTGTACATTCAAGCAGATTCTGATCACTTAATAGATTTAAAAGTAGTAATATTAAAATAATTGGAAACTTAAATCTCATGCTGTATAAGTCTTGACAATATGTTTGAAAACTGATTAGTGAAATGTTTCATTACCTTTGCATTAGGTTCCAACAGAAACAAGTTAGGGGGTCTCCTTTACTTGACAGTTCTGGTTAAGAGCACTATAAGTGAATACTATGAGTTCTACAAACAGAACATTTTTCCTTTACATGGATTTGGTTTGCAGAAAAGTACAAAAGTAAATGGTAGAGCAGGAACAACTAAGCAGTTCATTAGTATGAATGAGGGTATTTTATATGTAGCTTGCTGTGTTTTGTGGAGCAAATATTTCAAATGTTTAGCAGGTAAGAGGCAGTTACCCTGACAATGGAAAAATCAGGTACACTAATGTTGGATATGCTTATATCCAAGCAGTTGATGTTACTGAAATAGAATGATGTTCATGGTCACATGCAGAATCACGGAAGTGTGACAGAAATTTATTTAGAATAACTTAACCAAAAAGGTAATGGTTGCCTGTGAAACTGTCTTCCTCTACATAAAATTAAGCAAAGCAACAATATATAACAGCAATTGTGATTGCTGTTCACCTTGTAACCTTTTCCATTTGTTGTTATTTAACAGCTACTTAGTGCTCAGTGAGGCTATGGTGACAGTAGGCAGCATTAAGTTAATTGATAATTCTGTTTCCATTTCTAGAAAGTTAGTGATTGGCAGGCCTAAGGCAGATGTCACTTCATGAATGATTACAAATAGAGTTAGGAAATTCAACACTAACTTCAGCCTGGCCCATATAAACACAAGGTTTCATTGAACTAGGAACAGGCTTTGAATAAAGTTCAGTAAGAACTGTGTGTGCAAAAGAATAATTTTTGTTTCATAATAGATTCCCCTTCTACAAAGGAGTTCCCACTTGAGCCTTAGAGACTTTGCAAGCCTTTTTGAAAAGTGGTGATCTTGTATTTCTTGGATGGACTAAGTTGTATAAATTGCTGTTGTCCAGGCTTTTTGGTAGTGTTCTACTAACCTGGCTACTGGTGTGCATGCGCACGCACGTGCGTGCGCAGGGAGAGAGGAATCTTAGCATTCTGGCTGCACCCTAATTAACTTAAATGCAGACACTTCAGAGAATTTACTCCCCATTTGATCTCTAAACCCTACCTATAGCTGTTTGCTGCACCTAGACGTAGGTGTAGCTGTAAACTTAGTATTACTAGCATGATCTTTTTACTTTTTTTCATTTGTAGACAGGATGAGATATACTCTTGGTTAGGCATTTACAAATGGTTTAAAGCTTTACAACTTTCAGAAGTTGTGAATGAAAACCTAGGTGTGTTTTTCATCACTTAAAACGAGTAGGACACACCAAACTTTTGAGATAACTGATAGAATAAAAATGCAGAATAACTTGCGGGCCATAGAAAACATCTGTAGAAGGGAACAGGCACTGTGGTGTTTCAAATTGTTTCAAGTTTTATTTAGAGTAGTAAAATCCTTCCTAGAGCTTCATCCTGACAGCTGTAAAGAAATGGCCTGTAAGCTGTGGTTTGGCCTGCCTTTTCTCAGTACTGAAACTTCATGGCTCCAATTTAGAGTTCTCTCAGGCCCCTGTAAAGTACTGTTGCAGGCTCAGAGGAATGTGGTGAAGTTCTTGGATGAAAGGCAAATTATGTTGTTAAACATAAACAGCATGGGTATTAACTTTAGAGGCCTGATACCACATAGCAGATGAAACTGAATATGAAATAGTCATTAACCTCCAGTGACTAGCAAACTGCCCATAGAAGCTATAAAGGTATTTAAATGACCTTTGGTATAAATCTCAAAAAAAGGAATTTACTGTAGCTTGGTGGCTGGTACAAATATATTGTGGCAAAAGCCTTGGATCCAGTCGGTAGCCTGTATTGATAACAAAAGTCTCTTACCTGTGATTTTTGTGCCTCAGTTCAGCAATGGGAAATAAACTCCAAGAATACTGTCAAATGAATTCTTTCTCCCTGCTTGTAGGTCAGAGACAACTCTGAGAGGAGGTACTGCATCAAAAACATTGTTTATACAAGATGGAGATGTTATTATACAGAAACCAGCTCCTTTTAAAAGAAAACTTCAGGTGATTTAAGAGGAAAAGTATCCAGACACTGCAGTTACTTAATCAGTACAGTTTTAGTCAGTTCCATGATTAGCATAATCAAGTGGCTAGTGGTTCACCTTACTATGTCTTAAGGAATATTTGAAAAATACAAGAAAAGGAAATCAACTATTTAATGTATTGTCTTTATTCTACACATTTATAAAAGTAACAGTTTTGCCAGGGAAAGTTCTCACCCAATCACAACATATTTAAAAGTAGTATGTTGATGTATAAAATCAGAATGAGGCCAAGTACAATCAGTAATCTTGATTATTCAGAAGCCACGACTTGGGTTGGGCTCCTTGTTTCAATGTGGGGCAGGGCAAGAACGGTATCCCGAGACCAACAGATAAGATGTTTTATTCCTGCATAAGCTCTGCTTGTCAGTATTGGTGAAAAATATAAATTATTTAATGTGTATTTAGTCACAAGAGAGCAGTGACTGGATTTCCTCCCTATAGCCCAGCTTCCTCAGGAAAACACTAACCAAGCAACCTGGAAAGTGGTGAAAACCTGTGTATTTAGTCACAAGAGAGCAGTGACTGGATTCCCTCCCTATAGCCCAGCTTCCTCAGGAAAACACTAACCAAGCAACCTGGAAAGTGGTGAAAACCTGTGTATTTAGTCACAAGAGAGCAGTGACTGGATTCCCTCCCTATAGCCCAGCTTCCTCAGGAAAACACTAACCAAGCAACCTGGAAAGTGGTGAAAACCATGATTTTGGCACAAGTTTTTTTTTTTTTTTTTTTGCACATCTCAGCCAAAACATTTTTCTTGTGACAAAATGAAGCTAGCCCAAGAATAAAGCTTGAACTAAAATGATAAGATTCAAACAGAAGAGAGCCAGTGGTCACTTTCTAGTGACTGAAGTATTTAATGCTGTTTCTTCTTTTTCTTGGTGTGGGTTTGTCTCATTACTGTCCTGAGAAAGAAGAGTAGTGGCTTTGGGGACAGAACTGCTCTGCCCTCCCAGGTGATAGGGTGTGTCACACAACACAGAAGGCAGGATGGGTCATCTGTGGATGGAACTGTAGGTGCTAGGGAATGTCAAGTGAGCTTTTAAAATATATTGGTGTAGGTTACCCACAGAAGACTTGTAAGAAAGTGAGGGAGTAAAACAGGGAAGGTGACAGAAAAAAGGAGTAATGAATTTTAAGATCTTGGAAAAAATCAGATACATTGGCCTGGCTAATGTTCTCAGCATTCTGATTAAAATCTAACCAGTTTAGGCACCATATGTGAATTAACATGTCTGAGAAGTGAAAGGGGGTCTCAACCAGGCCTCACTCCCTGCCTTTTATGATGTCAGAATCAGTTCTTGAATTAGTTTAGTAACAATCTCAGATAGGATTGGTCTGAAAATACTGAAATCCATTCAATACCCGTCTGTGTAGCTTCTTGCTTTCAGAGAAAGAGGCAGGTCCAGAGCTACATATGTCCTCATGTGAATGCTTTGATTTCTGCAGAAGAGCAGTTGTGTATTGTTCTGGGTTAAGTATCTGCTTGCTCTTGAAGCTTAGTTCCAATACACATGCCACCAACAGGATTCGCAGCGCTAAGACCTAGTTGCTAATGAGGGCCACTGGGATGGGATAAGCCCAGAGCAAATGTGGGTCCATAAGAGCATTGAAACTTTATTCCTCCTACAGACCTGTTCAGGCACAGTTCTGGGTTGTTCTTGTAGGTACAATATCTGGGACCAAAAGTAACCCATATACCATTCTTCTATAAGAACTCCCCACTCTTCTTATGGATAGCCTACATTTTAGCCTTGGTGTTTGAAAACCAAAGTCTGTTGCAATAAGCAAGCCAGCAGTTCTCCATACTGGTGACACAGGCTGTGTGTGTCAGTTTTCCCATGAAGAAGAGAAGAGGAGAACTTGAGGGTGCAGAGATAAGGTCAAAAAGAGAACACAAAAAAGAGACTGGAACACCGTAAAGCAAAACAAAACAAAAAACACCTGAGACATCACTGAAGCACCACGTCCAGAACAGAAAAGGAGGGCAAGGCACAAAGCCAGAGCTAGAAGCAGAGGCAAGGTCTGCTGAACGTGGTGTACAGCCAGCCACAGCTCTGTAGCAGGAGCTTGGTCTACCCAGCATCTCCAGGACCACTTGCCCCTGGGGTTGAGTCATGGCACTCTGTTGTATAAGGCTGACCTTCCCACTAACTTCCCTCCTTAATCTCCCTACAGCTATGGAGGCATCCCCAAACCCTCTCCCTGGTGACCTGTTGTAGATTAGCTTCCATGGGTAGAACTTCGGTGCCAAGTACCAGTTAAAGTGAAGTCTCATTAGTGTGTGGCCTTGAGTTCTCCTCTTCCAGCAGAGCTATCCTTTGCTTGAGCATCCTCACTTGTGTCTCATGTCTCTCCACCATGGCCATCATCTGAGACTCCAACTTCTTCAATTTGTTTTGATGCTTCTTCTTGGCTTTCTCATAGGCAGTCACTAGGTTGCTTTTGGGAACAGAGGGAAGTGGGAATGAAGTTTCGTCCTACCTAGCATCCTGTCCTTTTGCCTGGGTAACCAGATCCAGTGAGTACTAATCTATAGATACAGGCCACTCATCCTCTTGAATAAGAACTGAAGCCACCTTTTTCCTTGTAACGACACATCTGTGAAACTGGGTTTTATAACTATATTTCAAAATAATATATCCCTGTAGAAGTGTTAAGGGGAAGGATGGCGAGGACCCAAGGGCAGAGCTAAGCCTGGGACTTTGGGGGATAAATAGCAGTTTTTCAATGGTTGTTCTGGGGAGGTAACGAGGTAAAGGCTCTCTCTCCTTCCCTCCCTCTCTCCTCTTAGCAGAGCTGGTCAGACTTTGTATCCCTCTCTCTTTCCCTGGGTTGTTCCTTTTCCTTTCCCCTTTTGTAAATAAACCCATTAGCCTTTTGTGCCTGCAGAACAATCACATTTTAGGTGAGCAGGTGAGGTGGCACTTTATGTTTACAAGTTACTTTTAATAAAAGTGTCATGTATATTATATGTAGTAAATTTAATTTGTAAACTAAAGCCTTAAAAAACTGTATTTTAGTACAGAGTCCTCAATTTTTGTTGAGTGTAAAGGGGTCCTGAATCAGAAAAGTTTGAAACTGTTCTTTTAGAGCAGTGATTCCTAAAGTGCCCCATTGGCTATTAAATGTTTGAGTAAAAGGTGTTCTGGCCAATTTTGTTAGGAAAACATTGGCTTAAACAGAGATTCTTTTTGCATTATGACTTCTTAGAATCTTCACTATATGAAGTATTGAAAGTACCATGCTGTGCTACATTTCCCAAAGACAGGGTCCAAGATTCCTCTTACTGAGTATTTAAGTGTCTGTTGATCAATGTGGAAACCATGTTCTCGGAATGACTCAGTCTTAAAGGGGGCAGGTGAGGACTCTACCTCTAGAATTGGTTCCCAGGGAACATGAAAATATCCTTACTGATGTACATGTACAGTACCACCCTCAAACAGGGAGATTTTACCTGTTGGCTCGCTTTAGGTCATTAACAAATTCTGCTGATTGCTGGTGTCGGATTTCACTGCTCTTGGTGAGTCTTTCCAAGGCACTGACCAATTCTTGAACTTTGATCTTCAACTTCTTCTCACTATATCAAGGAGAAATAGGAATAACTCTTTGATAGTGGTGGCAGGAACTGCTAATTAGAGTTGTCAGCAGGGGGAGGGAAATTTAACTTAAGAAGTCAAAAGGCGGGCCCTCCTTGGCGCAGTGGGTTAAAGCACAACATGAAGAAGCTAACGCCACTTCAGCATAAGTTCAATTCCCGCCCCAGAGGTGACCCACATGGGGAGACAGACCTTTCCTGACTAGCCCACTCCTCCCCTCAGTGGTGTATTTCATCTATCTGCTTGTTCTGCTCCCCACTCTACCTCTGGTGAATACTCTCACCACCCCTGCAACTCTGGCTTGTACCCTAATTCTCTATGCATAAATAAATAAATCTTTTTTTTAAAAAGATTTATTTATTCATATGGAACTGTGGTACAGGCCAGAGATGCGGAGGGTGAGAGGATTCACCATAGACAGAGTGGGGAGCAGAACAGACAGATTGACGAAGTACACTGCTGAGGGGATCAGCGGGCAGGTCAAGGAGAGGTCTGCCACACCATGTGGATCTCCTCTGGGGCAGGCAGGAATCGAATTCATGCGGAAGTGGCTTTGCTTCTCAGTGCAGTGCTTTAACCTGCTGCGCCACCAGGGAGGACCCAAATAAATAAACCTTTAAAAAAAAAAAAAGGTCAAAAGGCAAGTTTGGGCAAAGGAAATTAGTAGACAAGGAGACTCTACTTGCACTGCTAGAACACCAGCACACCCTGCTTCTCAACTTCAGAGACCCAATATGTGTCACAAGACAGAAAACTGTTTCTGATCTTCCAGGTAGGGAAACTGAGTCAATCTAGGAGTTCCTTACTGGGCATCTAATATGTGTGGGGTCTGAACACAAAACCCTAAACAGCTTCTCCCAGGTATCCTAAGCATCTCCTAAACCACCTGAGAACTCTAGTGAACAGAACCTTCTGGTCTTGGTAGGCTTCCTTCAACAAATCCCTGCTTGTTAAAATCAGCAGTATCCTGCCTTGTAGAGAAACAAAAACAAGGTGGGTAGAGAGAATGGAATTGTTCTCATTTTAGAGGTCTTTGTCAAGTGAAAAGGTTGAGTTCTATTAGTATCATTTTTGCAAGAATAGCTACAAATCTAAATGTGTACACAGCTCATTGATTTCTAACAACAGGAAGGACTTCTTACAGAAGGGGAATGATGGGCGGCTTTCATTTTCTGTTATTTTGCATTGCTTGAAATGTTTCTATGTATAGTTTTTGTAAAATATGTGAGATGGGTGAGGGAAAGACTGAGATACTCCTTCCTGACTTTTCACATATCTCATCTTTTACATCTTTGCCTTCAATTACAATAAGTGCAAGTCAGGCTTTCCAAACTGATTAATGAATAAAGGAATTGTGACACAAAAATCCTTGCTTCTTTGAGTCAGGATAGAAGGAGAAAGTTATTTAAGTGAAGCTTAACTACCAGCTTCAACATGCATCACTCAGTGAATCATCCCACAGGCACCAGGACACACTACAGAACATGGCTTTCTTCTGGGCCCAGCTGCCACCAGGAAATCTCAGCTCTGGTGGCATTTCCTACTGGAATCAGTATTGGTACCAGTTGTGGGAATGGTGTCTTTGGGAGAGGGCTCCTTCCTCACCCTCAGTCTTCAGGCATACTTAAGAGCAGGAGAGACTTTTTTTCTTCCCTTTGTCTAAAAAGGACAGGGAAGGGTTTTTGTTTGTTTGGATTCTTTTATCTTTTGTTGTAAAGTTGATTAACAGTGTACAGAGAAGAAAGAAGATTGAAGAGAACTTAAAGGTCACCATAAACTTGTCATAACAACATATAAACCTGCTTAGAGCAATACCATCCCTCCCAATTACATCAGCAGCCCAAAGCCTACAGACAGGAGGGTGTAGAACTCCTTGCCCAGCTCAAAACAAAGGGCTTCCCACCTCAGCACCCTGGGGAACCAGAGGAACTTTTTTGACAATCCAGGAGGCAGGGGAGGCTCTCACAGACCCTCCCTAATTGCAGTAAAATCTGTGGGACGGCCACAGCTGAGTCTCAGGAGGGTGGAAGTGTTCTACACACTACGCAATCGAAATGGACTGTTCTAAAAAGATGCTGCAAAACCTAAAATGTGAGTTACTTTATGTTTTTGAGTGAGGCAGATGCTTGCAGTAAACACATCATTCCTCATGAGCACACAGGACATAGCCGAGCAGGTCTGTCTGTTGTTCATCTGGACCAACACAACCACTAAATACTGTGAAGACTTGACAAGATGGCAGCCTGTGGCCATGGATAGCCACTGAGTATGCAAAAAGTGGCTGGTTGTAAGGAAAATGGTTTAGATCAGGCTCGTGTTGTGTCCTCAACCCTAATTCTCCATATGTGATAATGTGTTTTTGCAAAGGGCACTTGGGAGCAAGAGCACGGGTCACCTATGTTATGGGCATCAGAGGTCAGAACGGGTGTGTGTGAAAAAAAATACAGATAGCTGGGTTGAGAAGTGAGTGCAAGGCCAGGGTGTGGAGTTGTGTGGGATGGTGGACATGCCTCCCTCCTGCTGGTCTGCCTGTCTGTCAGGTCCCCTGCTGCAGAATTAAAGACTTGTCAGATCTACATAAGGCTCCGAGACTCCTATTTGCCCAAATCAGCACTGAGCCTGCCCAGTCTAGGACTGATCCCACTACACTGGTCCACTGTAAAATGAACACGAATTTGAAGTAAAATGAACACGAATTTGAAAACAGCATGGAAAAGAGAATGTAATTATCAGGTTTTTTGTTTTTGTTTTTACATTTTTCATGTGATAATTTGGCTATATTGGGCTAAAATAATATTTGATGTGACTGCTAGAAAATTACACATGGCTTGTATTTGTGTTTCTAGCAGATGGCACATATTTAGAGTTATAGTACCATGTGTTTTCCCTGGATTTCAGTTCAGGTTTGGATTTGAGGTTGGGATTGAGAATCAGGTGATTTTTATCAGGCAAATTTGGGAAACTCTAATACAGTAGACATGTTCTTTACCTGACTCTTCAGATTATTTCTGTGGTTTTTAATTTATATGCACAATTGCAGGCAAAGGCATATTTTCCTGAAGCCTTCTTGAAATCTCAAAGGATGATCTGGGAAAAGAGTTGGAACTTAAGTCCATTAATCCATGTGTAGGCTCAATGAATTAATGAGCCTTTTTATGCTATTAGCCTCTCTGGCTATCATCTGTAGCCTTGTCATGTTAATGCATAAGGCATGTGGGAGCAAGAACACCTGAAGTATGGGTGAAAAGCAGTAGCAGTAGGAGCAGGATGACAAGCAGTGTGACTACAGAAGAGGCAAGAGGTAAGAGAAAGTGAGAAGAGCCAGAGAAAGATGGTAAAGATTCAAGGTGGCCTGGAGGCAGCCTCCCCGCCCTGCCGCGCCCCACTCAAAGCCGGTGCCTGCCTCCTTGTACGCCAGCCTCTGCCTGATGTCTCTGTGAAGCTGGTTCCCTGAGTGAGCATAAACTTTGAGAAACCCACTGCGTGCTCTGGGACGCTCTTCATCCACCTGCGTGAGTTGGTCGTGAACCTGCCCTGTGCACGCTGGCACTACATCACATTATTTTAGAGCCTCACCATCATGATTTATTCCTTCTAGTTTCTAATTCAAATTGTTTGGGCTTCAGTTAAAGAAGAATGTATGGGTTTCGTTCAGGTAAGGCTAAATGAGTATTTTCAAAGGCTCACACAGATGAGAGTAAAAACTAAACATTATCCATTACATTTGCCTGCTACTAATAATGCTTTCATAAATCTTTTCTGGAATCCCCAGAACCAATAATCCCTACCTTTCTTTCACCCAGCTGTATGGATACTCAAAACACATTCCTACCTGTCAAATGAAAACAAGTACTAGAAAAGCCCAAGTCACCATACGAGGATGTCCGTTTCAGGTCTTTCCACTCCAGCAAACATGAAGGTTGTTCCTGGCCACAGAAATGTCCTATGGATCAGGCTCTCCCTGGTGTCACAGTGCGTTAGAGTGAATCATTGTGGAGCTCTCCGTAGCCACCACAGTGCGAGTTCGATCCAGGACCAGGGATCTAACCTGCATGGTGCAGCAGACCTCTCCTGACCCCCGCAGTAGTGTATTTTAGTACATCTACATGTTTGCTCCCTACTCTATCTCTGGTGAGTCCTTTTAGCCCCCTCTCCCCACCACAACGCATACCTCTGGCCTGTAGCCCACTTCACGCATACATAATCTTTAAAAAAATGTCCTGTCGAATCCCTCCCTGGTGGCGCAGCGGGTTAAAGCACAGCACTAAGAAGTTTAAGCCACTTCCACATGAGTTCGATCCCGCCTGCCCCAGAGGAGCTCCACATGGCGAGGCAGACCTCTCCTGACCGCCCGCTGCTCCCCTCAGCAGTGTTCATCGATCTGCCTGTTCTGCTCCCCACTCTGTCTCTGGTGAATCCTCTCATCCTCCGCATCTCAGGCCTGTACCCTAGTTCTATATGAATAAATAAATAAATCTTTAAAAAAAAAAAAGTCCTGTGGATCTTTAATTACACAGGGAGTGTTAGTTTATACATAAATCTTTAAAAAATGTCCTGTGAATCTTACTTAATCACAAAGGGAGTGTTAGTTTTTTCTTTGAAACTATTTCAAGCAGTGGCATCTACAGGGGATTAAAGATCTCATGGCAAGAGCATGCCAGTGATGGTACCATCACTGTTTGCCTGGTGGGCTGCAGATATGTGGCAGGTTTTCTCTCTGATGCTATCAGCTTGTCAGTGGTCTGGAAGGAGGGTTCTCAAGTGGGTGAAATCACTGTAATCAGAATCCAAATGAGGATTTGGAGGGGGAATGGAAGGGTCCGCAGGTTGAGAGCTGGTCTTGAGGTGGTGACTGGCTGCAGTCAGGAAACATTTTAGAGAAGCTGCAGACTCACCATGGGGAGTTGGTGACATTACAGTCTCAGGCTAGGATTCCTTAGAGATTACTCATCCTACAGAATTTGAGATTATTGTCAGCTCATGTGGTTCTTCTTGGCCTTGCCTTTCATTTATTTCTTAAACCCAACCATGCTCTGTCTCTCTGAAACTGCTCACTGAGCAGTCCACTGGAGGAAGATGCCACAGGAGAGAGAAGCAGATAAAGTAGAGGGGCATGCTCAGGAAGAGGGCTTGTTCAGAGTGGCTGGACTACAGATTTTGTATAGAGGAAACATTTGAATAGGGAGGGGCTGAGAACATGGAGAACTACAGACAATCTTGAATACTATGCCATTGGAGATATTGCTGCAGAGAATCTAGTTGGAGTGTGTTTTCTGTTATTGGGTGGTGGCACATTAGGTAAGACTGATGCAGAATTATCTACCAGGTACTACACCAAGAGTTCAGAGGAGTGAGGCCTAAACTCAGAGATAGAAGTTCAAATGAACAGGAATGGGTGGGACTTACTGGATAAAAAAAGCTGCTGACAAGAAAGAGGAAAAAATTGGAAGTTGTAACTCTAGGTCATCAGAAGAATTATAAAGTCTGAATAGGCACATTTCAAAATGCAGTAA